TCCCGCTTGGCGCACGTGTGTATCACGTGACGACAAAGATGCCACGGTGAAGCTCAAGCAACCTTGTTCCACGAACTTTCGACAGTCCACTTGGTAATCTATGAGGCCGAACAATTTTGTCAACATACGCTATTTTGTTTTAGAACCGCTGATTTATCTAAAACTGAAAACAAACAGTACCACACAGAAGAACTGACAAAGACATTCCCCTTCTAAAAATGCCACTTTTTCACGTGACATGAAAATCTTGCAGAATAAAGTTTCATACCTATTTGAATCGCACTAAAAAAACAAAAGAGGAAATTTGTCAGGTAAATTTTTGTTTTAAGTATGGATCAAAATCCATATCATACTGAATTATAAATCAAAAAAACAAAAATAAGGTTAACTGCTTACTTGGAGCAACAATACAACTGAATAACGGAAGAAGGAAACAAGGGTCATAAACATCTTGGGGTTTCTCCTGCGATACCTCACGGTGGACTTGCGGCTGAAAAACACAACATATAAACAAACAAACATATAGCAACTTGACTAGAATGCAAGATTTGAACTTTTTGGTCGCAATTTAAGTAATTTTGTGTTATTTTTAGAGGATATTAAGATTGAGCTAACCTGCCATCAGGCGGTCCTACCTCCCTTTTTCTTTTGCGCTCCCCCGAGAAAAAGAACGCATGATCGCAGGTTGAAGATTTAGCTTGTCTTTTACTCTTCCCGAGATCAAGCTGCGTGCACTCCCCCGCATCTTGGGAACAGTGTTATTGTCCCCTAAGCGAATATATTTTTCACCAAATAGCAAACTCTTACTTCCCGCTATAGTTCTTGCCTGCTACAACGTAAGTAATCATTGTGGGATCTCTTGCCTTCCCAGCTTCCCAGTCAATCCACTTCACACTTTCGCGTAAAAATGCAAGACTAACAAAAATGATCCTTCTGCAAGCTCAAACAGGAAACGTAAATGACTAAGTCCTTCACAAACCTGCAATAGCCTGCTCTGCGGGAACAAAACTGTTGACTGACTCATTTTCTTGGCATCCAGCAGTTCCAGGACCTCAGTAACGCTTGGCTGTTGCCATAGTGAAGGACCCAGGCTTCTCGAGACTTGATGATGGCTAGCAGCAGCGGGGCCCCAAAGGAATGGTCTGTAATGAGACGAGAAAATAACCGGAACTGTTTTAGGATGACATGTTTACAGAGCAGCACACGGGTTATAAAGACCCTAAGAGTCGTTGATATATGTGTCAAGAATCAAAGTCGAATCCTCACAATAGACGAGAACACTACCAAAAACACTTTATCCTCAACGACGAGTCTAAAATATTGGCGACAATACTTACTTCAAAAAGGGAAAAGCAAGCTTTCCCTCCCCAACGTCCCCACCCCTCCCCCTCCCCCAAACACTGTTGTGGCGCTAATCAAGCTGCCACTGAGAAAAAACAGTTGAGGGGGGAGAGGTCAAGACTGCTTTGCTTTCCGACATATACCCCATTTGACTGAAATGTCTTAACAATTTATATGCCGAATGAAGATCATTCACATTTTCGTATTACACTAAAAATATTTACATTTATTTAATTAATTATCTTTGGCTGTTCCTGCATGTTACATAGTAGCCTTTCGTAAATCTCTTAGAACCCCGTAGAAGGGTTTTAACTGTCTCCTACTACTTTGTACTACGAGCAGAAAGTTCTCTTTTGAAGTTTGAGGAGTAACTTCAAGGATAGACGTGGCCTTCGTCGATTCGTTTACTCCATGATATGGGAGCACGGATAAATCAAAGTTTTAGCCAATAAGAATCTGGGTAGTAACACGTCATCAGTATGGAATTTCTGTACTTGTTTCTCAGACGTCATTTCGCGGGGAAACCAGTGGTCGCGTCGCAAAATGTTGGCTGTTTTCTCAAGCCATCCATAATAGCGACGTGTCCGTCAGGAAAGATTCGACCATACCTTCAGAATCTTTAAAAATACCTGTAGTCTTTAAATGATGCGTGGTTCTTCTCGTAAAGACTCATCAAGTACAGAATGCACTGGTCTAGAAACAAATGCATTAACTTCAGAAGCTGATCGCACGAATAAAGAGGTCACGAGGGAAACTAAAAATGCGTTAACCTTAAAGACCAATTAAGGGGGGACAAACTGGCCCAATGTTAAACCGTTTTCAGTGAGGTGTGAAAGCAAATTCGCAGGAACGACATCTTACAATTTAGGACACATTTTCAGGACAACAGAGATAGAGCTGGTAAATAAAAAAGCACATTTCCAGCCTAGGAATGAAAACCGCGAAATCTGTTACGCAAAGCTGATGATCCGTAAATTCATTGCCCATGTGATCAGAGAGGTCTACCCACCACTGGCAGGAGAGATTAGGAGTATGACACGACGCAGGAAGGAGTAGGGAATCTCGACGCGAACTGCGGTGTGGGTGATGATTGTGATGATAATGATGACGATGATGTTGATGACGATGATAATGAGGATGATGATGATGATGATGATGAAGGTTATGATGAAGATGATGCGATTGGCTTGAAAATACCTCTCCATTCCTTGAACCAAAGTCAAACGTGAATTGTCTGCTTGCTATTTCCTCTCCTATGTGTCGAATAAAACTCAGTTGCTTCTTGATCTGATTGGTTAATAAAATTGGCTACGTATGCTGACTGTCAAGAAAGAACATGTGTAGAAAACGTTGCCTTACCTGTGACAGATAATGAGGCTGAGTAAGCTGCAAAAAGCACAGGCAGGTGTGACGACTTACAACAGCTAGGACTTAAATCTACTATAGTAACCATCAGCTCCGTGAGGGATTCTGTAAAAATACAAAACATAGTTAAACCTTGAAAATTGATGACGCCCTCTAACTCTTAAAATCAGGGAGGTTTAAAGATCATTAAGGCTGGTTTTCACTAGCGCGGATTCGGAGTCGTAACCAGATGCGTAGAGCTCATGATCTAGTGAAGACAGCCTTCCGATTCCGCTAACTACTCCGTCGCTTACGTTCCACTTATGATCTAGTGAAAACCCGATTGTCGGAGTCTTACGCAGAAAGGGAAGAACTAAACCAATCACAATGCGTGGGAAGGTGCATTGTGATTGGCTTATCCTTCCGCTTCTGCTTCCGACTTCGACAATCTGGTTTTCACTAGATCATAAGTGGAACGTAAGCGAAGGAGTCGTAACAGGAGTCGGAAGAAAGGAAACGTTTTGATTCTTCTGACTCTGATTCCGTCGGCCTTATGAGTCCGCTTAAGACTCAGATTTTTAATCTTAATTAGGTCATAAGCGCTCTTACGACTTCGCTTACGACTCCGACTCCGACGCTAGTGAAAAACAGCCTTTATTGTGCAACGTAGCCAAAGTAACTATCAAAACAAAGGAGAAAAACAGAATTAAAACTTATGAAAACGACAGACAATGACATAAGGATTTTTTGTAATACCAACTGTTAGAGATCGGAGGCAATTTGTAGAGAATGCAAGTTATAAAACAGCCCCTGGTCACTTACTTTAAATGAACCAGTCCCTGACACATTTGAATTTCTTTTTCTGCTTGGCCAGAAAATCTTTCTTGGCCGGTAACCGGCAGCGATTATTACAGTGATACTATAAGATATTGATACTGTTAGATGCGAACACACCTTTTGCGTCCTTGTTTCCTGATAGCCCGTCACTTAGAATCACGTCCAAGAATTGAGAATGGCTTATCAGCATTTCGTACAAAGTGTCCAGGGGCAGGAGAGTGTCAGACTGTTTCTTTTCGCCCGGTGCTTTCCTGTACATTGCTTTAATAAGACATCTCAAAGTTGTAAGAACTTTGGCGCTTTCAAATTTATACCTGTGGAAGAAACAAATCACATCAGAAATGGTTCAAATGTATTGCTACAAGGCAGAACACAGCTTGTCACGTACCGTACTCTTCGTGACGCGCAAAAAAGGCTAGCTCTTGTAGTGACCGATGTTTTAACTTTGTTTTAATGTCCACTGTGATGATAGGAGACCTTCCCGAGACAATAGAGAGCTTACGCAACAAGAAGGAAAAACGTTTGAGTGTGACAAACGTGACGGGCGATTACTTGCATGGTTTGTCGTGATCTTCACTTAAAATTACTCTTTCCTGGTCTTTTACAAAAAGATCTGTTTAAAGGAAGGTGAAGTTTGATGGAAGGACATAATTACAGTCACGCTTGTCACGCTTGTCACACAAATATTTGTCGTCTTCGTTCCTCTGTTATCAACAGGGACAAAGGAATAGAGATTTCAGGAGCATATGCGCCCATCATCTACCCTGTTCCAGGGGATCATAAGGGTGAGAGTAACGCAAAATGCTGAACAGACAGACATCTCTTTGCGCCGTCCCCACCATCTAGACGCTTGGAACAGGTTACCCACCATCAGATCACAAAGCAGCCGGTAGGTACATGATGGTCTGGACCACTGAGAATACAGCTCCCAGGACGAAAGGCCAGGTTGGAAGGCCAGCAATCTTGAGCGAGGAAAGAAAAGCACCAACCAATAGCAACCATACCGCAGCCCGGCCAGGTAGGTTGAGAGCGTGTCGGTCTGCAGCGCGGGAGGTCCTCAGTTCACACTCCAGCGGGACTATTATCCAAGGTTCTTAAAATGTGGTGAGATCATGCTAGCTGTGACTAAAAACCCCTTTCTTAGTACAGATTATCGCGTCATTTGGCGGTGACGTTACGCCATTGGCCTTGTCTCCTTCATCCTTTACATCAGTTGGAAAAGAACCCGTGACATTGTTCAAAAAGAGTAGGAGACGTAGGCCCCGGTGTCATGGTCTATCTGACGTGTGCCGTCATTGATCTGGGTGGGTGAGGTGAGATCACACATGGAGTGATGAGGTAGCATAGTGCGCCTTTAAAATCTGACGTCCGATCTCACCTCTCTGGTTCCTCCGTAACTCAGCCATTGGCTGCAAGTAAGGAAAGTTGGCAGCCCCTTAATTATGATGCAAACAATTATTCCGCATGACGGTAAGCGCGCATACAACAACGCTCGTATATAAATGCAAACCAAAGATGTTTAAGGTGGTTCACTTGAGAGTACTTATCTACCGCAATCATTACAGCTTCATTGGCTGATTGACTACTACCTCAAATTCTACAGGAATCAGAAAGAGCGTTGAGCTGAAAATTCTTGGATTGGCTACATTGTAACATGAAACAAATGGATAAATACCTCAAACAGTTCGTTACAAAGCTGTTCCACACTGAATCACAACTCTTATCACCGACAATATATGCGTCTGAATTCTACATAAATAGAGGCGCATCATTAAAAAGTAATACTTTGACTTTTTTACATAGATAAATTTAGAAGAAACATGTTTACGTTTAAACAACGCTGGAATCCCACCCGCTTCCTTTCCTTTCCCATCCTGAGCTTTTACCATTATCAGAACAAACTAGCATCAACTCATGGTTATCCTAATATAAGTCAGTGTCAAGTACCTTACAAATAGCTTCCAAATGAGCCAAAGCATCGTCAAATACATTTTCAGTATCCTTTGTGCTACCTACGAATAAGAAACAAGTGCTGGTCAGTTGCTGAGGTAAGTCTTGAACCAGAAGAATTCTAAACACTGCAGGACAATCAGGGTAAACACTTTTCACCATTGACAGAAGACGTAAGCACTTTAATCATACAATCAGTTTTCATAGCGGTACAATTAGCAACGGTCGTAGGCGGAAAAGTGCACAGTCAAGCCCTCATATGATTTTGAAAATACTTGAGGTAGTGTCACACGTAATGCATTCTCTCTAAAAACAAGAATACGGGGCGACTTTTGGGATTCCTTTCCCTGACTTGTAAACCAACTTATGACGGTAAGTTGGCTGTAAAAAGGCGAGACAAACATTCACCTTTTCCATTGAAAGAGCTGGATAAATATTCCAAACAGGCAAAACAGTACTGGCTTCTAAAATCAGGGGTCTCCTCAATGGTCGGGCAGTCAAAACAAAGGTCCCAAAAAAGCTGGTAACAAATTCTCAACTGGTAACTGCAAAACAGAAGTGAAATTTAAGGAAACAAATAAACTGCATTAAAATTACAAAGGGAACAGCTAACCAAATGATCAGGTAGACTACGTACCTGTCCCATAGGGAAGCTTTCGTCAACAGGTCATTAAACCTCATCTTAAGAATGTCAGCTGTAATAAAAGTTAAAAAAATAAATGATATAAGAGTGATTGGAACAACAAACTCCTCAAGAGATGCACGGGAAGGGAAGGGGTCGTCCCCCTGCCATTGGAGGAGTCCAGGGAGCTTCCCACGGGAAAATTCTAATCTTGGGGGCCCTGAAAAGTGCATTTTACAGCATTTGAATTAACAGCGAAAGACGTTACCACGAGAACAGCAACTTTACGTACCTATTTGCTTATTTTAAATGTATAATACGTTTGGTTTATCAAGCAAAAGTGTTGAGAAACAAATACCACGAGAACATTATCGGTTCTGAGTAGCCACCGCGACGGTCATTTTCGCTGATTACCAGAGGTTCCTGGAGAACCTCGGCTTTCTCGGCTGATCGCGTTAACATTGAGTTATGAAGGCCCACAGGCTCCCACAAAATCAACTGACCCTGCTCGCCACATCTGTTATTAAAGGGTACAATTTTGTATTCCTTTAATCGACCTTTTGATTTTAAGGTGGCTCTATCAGTTACGTAGCGGACCTAACCTCTTTTTTCCATCCTGTGAACAAGAGTGATGATCAACTCCATACAAGGTTCCTACAACATCAACAAGAACACTAGCTGAAGTATTTAACAACTATTACAATACCTTAGGAGTAAGTGTACTTTTCAAAACCAACTCACAGTGACAAGATTGGCGCGAAATCCATAAATATGAATGTTTCACCAAAGGAGAAGACATATAATTTAATAATTCTTAAAACGGGGAATGGGGAGCAAGCAGGCGAACGGCAAAATGAAAAATGAGAACAAAACAGAAAAATGGGTAGTGAAGTTACTGTTAGGAAATTTGAAGCTTTCTTTACTGAATTTTGACGTAAATTTGAAAATGTTGAGCCGAGGGTTTGGAGACTTTTTTAGCAATGACATTGAGTGAGTACGCTTGCATTTGGTTGCATCGTAAGTCTTTATTTAATGTTCTTATGTTCTGTTTTTCTAAGAAATCTCTAACCTCTGAGGATCTGAAAATTCCCTCTCTATCACCAACGAGCCAGTCCCACAGTGGATCCCAGTACGCTTCAACCAGGTGTGAGATTACAGCTCGTGTTCTGATTTTACCTGCCAAGACGCAAAAATGAAAAAAAAAAATGTTTAAATGCATGCTAACAAACAAATTAACGTTTGCCGTGTATTCGCGGATTTTTTTGGGGCAAAACTTAAAGCCAATCTTGATATTAAAGTTTGAACCCGCAATACTAGAACTCTGCAACAAAACCTTGCTATGCTGCTGAAAACTACGTTAAAATACGTGAAATACCTTATGATATGATTTGCACTCAGCTGCACACATGCATACATGTTTAGATTTTATTCTTATTTACTATTTCTGTGAAATTTATGAGATTGCTGGATACACAATAAATGTGTGGTGTTGCACGGAAATCTCTCCTTCTTAATGGCAGACAAAAAGACGCGGACATGAAGCAACCTTTTATTGCTGTCAAGAAAAAATGTTATTGCTTATGCTCACGATGGAAAATTCAGTAACAAAGAAAATGAACGTTTGTATTGCTATGTAGTCAGTTTGGAACTGTAGGGAGGAGTAGGGACCTGGAGCCGAAAAGCGTCCCGCAATTGTTTTTGGGATTGTTACTGGGGACGCCCCGGTCAGCTAGAAGCCAAATTTATTTTCGGTTAGCATTAGATCCCATCGGCCTAAAACCCCTTGGACACCTTATGGAGTTTACACAACCTACTATGCCTCAACGCTTCGATTTCTACCACTGACTATATTGATTAGGGTTAAGCTCTGACTCCAAACGGTTAGCTTCTATTCAGGGTTAAGGTTGTTGCTATATAGCTTCAAATCAAGCCAATTTTCGCCAGGAAATCCTCAGTGGCGTACTGGTATAGGTGATGGACTGCAGACACTACCCTCCGGGTTCGATTCTTACTCTTGCTCTTCGGATTTTTTTCCCCATAAAAATTGAAGAGACATCCACTTTCATGAACATTTCCTGAGCAGAAATGTCAAGAAACTTAGAAATTTCATTTAAGTGCAGTGCAGAAACAATAAAGAATACTACGTTGTGTAAACTTCATAAGGTGCCCAAGGAGTTTAGGCCGATGGGATCTAATGCTAACCCAGTCCCTCGTCACAATCCCATAAGTCTTTGCGAAGGTCAACTCGGCCCAGGTTCCTCAGTTCTCGTATCTAAAGGGCCGAATTGTCAGTTAGTCAACGAACATACACTAAACTTACCATCACCAGTCACTCCACGTACGGACAAAAGGTAGGATGAAACTAGCGGAACGAATTCTCTCAAATGATCCTTGAATTCTATAGAAACTACTGAACTACTATTACTCCCTTTTACTTTCCTCCTGGAATTTGATCTGCTCAAGCAACAAAGTTCAAAATGCGACCTCAAAGCAGGAGAATGCGTGACCAAATATGAGGCGATTGAAACTTTCACTTCTGTTGGGTGAAAAAGACAAGAATTTAGGACAGCCGCTGTTGAAGCTTGCACATATTTCAAAGACGCCTGCATGAGTTTCAAAATAATCGAGTCTAATTGAGGACAGTTTACATCCTTTGAAATCTTAACAAGCTGCATGAAATGCGACACCGAAAGCTGTTCTTCTCTCTCTAATATCACATTTTTGCAAAAAGTGAATGACGGATGAGAATCTCTGTCTTCGTATGGTGATGTTCCTTCTAAGAATTTCAGAAGAGTGAGAAGAAACGCAGTTGGCGTCCTCTCGTTGGATGACGAATCTGTTGCCAACAACAAGCTGGGAGGCAGCTTGCACAAACTGGATATAAACTTCACTTGTTCTTCTTTGTCGCAATAGCTATGGAAGAGTCCAAGGAGATAGAATGTCTGTGAAGATGGCGTCTCTGTAACGGAATAAATGCACGTTAGTTTCCCGTGATTTTTTTTTAAACAACAACAACATAGCTTTGATTTCATACGTAGTCAAGTCAAATCGGTCTCCAGTCTAGGTGAGATATTGAAACAATCGCAGACAACACCAAGCGCGGAAAAATGACGGCAAGTAAGTCAAGAATGCTTTTGAGTTAGCTAGTGATTGGTGTAGCAAGTGGGGCGTGATATGTTTCAGCCAATCACTAAGCTTAGCAATACAATTACAATATTACTACAATAGGGGGCCATTTTGACGATGACGTCAGTTAACTAAAACCACCAGAATTGTGCTTTCCTATTTAAATTTTTAAATCCCGCTAAGTTTTGAAAACAATAGTCTTGATTTGCACATAAAAAATAAAGGATTCTAGAAGCTTTAGTCAAATGACATCATCGTGCAAATGACCCACAAGAACCACTCTATGGAAACCCCATAAAATGCTGTCAAGCTTAAACAATAGGGAAGTTGTGCAAGGGAGAGCCATTCTTCCATGCATAAAGCTACCGATTCAAAGTACGCATATTTACTATTTATTACCATTTCCATCTTGTGCAGATTGAATTTCGGACATTCCAGCACTGATTAACTTCTTAACAAAAGGAGCCATCAAGATTCTCTTCTGCTGCCGTGTTAGACTTGGGAGCAGAGCAAGAAGCAGGTTGGATACATGATAAGTAAGCTGAACAGCAACATCCTGTAGAGAGGTGCGAGGCAGTGACTGCTCTGGGTACCAAAGGAAGCAGCTTAGCATAACAGGATGGTGGAAAACAGTGCGGATCAGGTATTCCATGTCACTTAAACCCTTATCATGGGTTTCAGAGACAGTATGCGTTATATCTGAACTTTGAGCAAAATCATCACTATTTGCGTCAAGTGCATTTGTATCTGTTTTGTGTGAATTCTCTCGGATTTCTACCAATCTTTGTATCAGAGACTGAAGCAGTTCAAAACACAACAATATTGCAGCTTGGAGATTGTCTTGACTGACTGAAACGACGACAGTTAACAGTTTTGATTTCAAGGAGTGTAAATGTAGGAGGAGATACCGACAAAGAGGGACGCTTTTTGACATCGGTTCTTTCTTCAAAGAACCCATCAAGAGATTCTGGAACCAAGAGTCGTAAAGGAGACTTGAACTGCCATTTACTATGCAAGAGGTGTTCGAGGGAAGCTTATCAAGAAGTGTTAACTCATCGTAAACTGTCCCACTTAGTACTTGCCACACAAGGGAACTGAATGGAAGCACTCCGAGCAAAGGAGCCAAGCTCTCTATAGTTGCACCGCCTGGGTGATAAAAGAAAGGGAAATAAATGTTAAGCCCAAAGAACCTCTTGTCAAATTAAAGTGAAATTTATTAACCACCTATCGGTAAAGAGTAATTTACTTATAGTAATCAGCTTGTTCAGTTGAAGCTCGATTAAGCAGCCACTTATTTAACCCTTTAAACCCTAAGATCAAAATTGGAATTCTCATTTGTTGCCCCTATTCATTTCCTACAGAAGTAGTGGGGAGAAGTTGATAAAATATCAAGCAAATTCATCTTGTGTCATCATGTCCGTAATTCTCATGACCACTGTTTTACGAAGCACTGATATTACAAGCAGAAATTTGATGCTGATCACTCTTAGTCCGATCTGGAAAGTGAGAACTGACTGTGGACCAGTAATGCTGCTCCCGTCGCGAATTTGTTTCAAAATGAAGTAACGTTTCTGCTAAAGTGGGGATGCTTGAGCAAAGACATTTCTGAGCGACGCACGTCAACCAAAAGTCAAGCCTTTTCGCTTTTGATATGCTTTGACGCTACCAAATTTGTGTTGCTAAGTGTCTTTACTATTATAGAGACGATTTACCCAAAACTTGGAGCAAAATCACTGACCACGAATGTCAAAAGTCTACTTCTGGTTGGAGTGCGTCGCTCAAAAAACATCTTTACTCAAGCTCCCTAATTTATGACGAAACTCTAAAGAGCGACCGATCTCCATTAAGCGCCAACCACTTCCTGGTACTCCAAGAGTGGCTTTTTTAATTATCGCATTTCCTCGAATAATAGCCGTCCCTCGATTAATCGCCTCCCCACCCCTCTCGGCATCTTCCCATTCTTTTACCCACCCCTCCCCCCCAAAAAAAGTATAGGTAGCTTCACGCATTTCTCGTTTCTAACGAAAATGCCGATAAGGGCTGCGATTCGATTTAGAGCTCAAACTATTGTGACATCATTGTCACCTGATATTTATTCCGATCGCCCAAAAAATAATATCATAAAAAGTTAAGTCTATGTGTAATACATTTGTTATGATGGTTTTAAAATAAAGATAAATTTGTTTAAGTCTAAGAGATTCAAAGATGGAAGGTGTACCTACAAAAATACTGGGTCGAGCCACCTTAAATCATACGTTATCACCTGTGATTTTGTAATTCTTGACTTGCAAAACTTGGGCAAGTGGCGAGAAATTTGCACTGAGTTGATCTTTGCAAAATTCAACGCAGTCGACAATAACAGTTCTGAACTGCGCTTCATTCAGTGCCTCCAGGAGACAGTACAATTCAATAGCCGCTGCTCTTTTCTCTACAAAAGACAAAACAACAAAAACAAACACATAGGCACACTTTGGGTGCAATAAAAATGCTTTCATTCTTTCACTCATATCTCCAAAAAAGAAAAAAAAAGACGACGATCTCTATCCACTCGATAACGCAATTGGTTTCCCTAATACTTATCCTGTTGGATGGTGATTTATCCCGAGGACAGCGCTATCCAGCGTTTGAACAACCGAGGACAGAACTTATCCCAAATGCGCTATAATGTCAGAGACGAATCGCTCTTTACTGTTGTTATTTCCACAGTAAGGACTCATACGTCTTGTTCTTAATTTTCGAGGCTACTGCATGCCAGCTCATCTCATCTGCTGGCATATTGAAACACCTCGGATGGAGACATAAGCCGAAGGGCAAATACTACAATTTGATCACAGAATTTGATTACGGAAAGTTTGGCACTGTCGCTCGCTGTCGCCATTGTTTCTTGAAACGAACGAGGTCTCTTCGGAGTGTCTTTAAGGTGCTTTAGCTTAGACTGTTTATGGTGAATGGTAAGATTTCATGTCGATAGAACTAAATCAGAAATTGTAAGTACAAAGCTTCCCTAGCATAAAAAATAGAGTTCAAATTACATTTATTATTTCACCAGAGCTGAAACAGCCATAATGCAAAACGCGTTGTAAGGTTTTTTATAACGTTAACATGCTATTAAGTCTTTGCAGCTTTCGTAAAATTACCTTGCTGGCTGTCTACAGCGGTATTGTTCAAAAAACGTTGCAGTTTCTGTAGATTTTCTTGTGCACATCCAATTCTGTCCTGCATCTGAACCGCACCAGGAAGCAAGTTGCTTACATACTGCAGTAAGGCTACATGCAGACTTCTTATATGGTCCGCTACTACCATATCAGTATAGTAATGGCAAACGGCGAAACAGAGAATGGCTGGATTTGCAGAAATGTGGATCATCTCGAAGACCAAACAATTCATGTATCGTGCAACGCCTCCTAGGAAATAAAAAGATTCTAAGATAAAGAATGCTTCATAACTAGATAGATGCTAGTCCTTTTTCAACTGACGTACAAAGCGAGCTGTCACAACGAGAGTGTAGGAAGAGAACAAAGAGAGAAGGAACTGGTTCGCTGGCTCTTAAAATGTTCTTTCTCGCGGTAGTCCTAGTGGAGGGGACTGGTAGCAGACAGTGTCTCTTTATAAGCATTGTGCATGTCCTCTTGGTATTTAAGCCCACGTTAACAAGTGTCAGCCCAAGCATAGTAAAATCAGACATTTTTGAAACAATATTTTACTGTTAGCTACAAGTATAACTAAATTTTGCAAGAGATATATAACATCTACAAGAAAATCAAGTAAAATCTAGTGCCGAAAGCAATTGTAGCATAACACGTTCTTTCTCTCTTTTTCCTATACCAGGATCTAGGCAACGACATTCATCTTTCCCTCTTACTGATAAGCAAGGGCAAACGTACCCCTCAATTCTACGAACGAACTGACTATTTTAAAAGCCGCGAATCCACTGGTCTTTACCGCCACTGGTGTTAAATTCACGACTGTATTCCCCCATGCTTAATGAGTAGCGAATGTAAGCCTACAACTTCTTTCTACTCGAACAGACTGAAAAATCTTTCACATTCTAAATGGATGAAAATTCCTATGAAAAGTACAGATTGAACTCAAAAAGAAAGTGAAGCTAGCAGAAATTTTTTCCATCACGCGTGTAAAGTCACTGCTCATTACGTATGCAAGGATGAAGAAATGAATCTGATTTTGACAACGACTAACGGATTACATAAATTGTAAATTATAAGTTGTAATTTGTTTACCCACGAAGCACTTAAAGGGTTCTTCAGAAATCGTTAAAAGGCGTCCGTGCGTTCCAGATCGAATTGGAATTTGGGAGTGTTGGTTTTTGAGGAGAGTGTCCAAAGTATCCGCAGAAAAACTCACAAACCCAGCCCACATATGGCGTCGACGTCGGGATTTCAACCCAGACCACATTGTGGGAGGCGACTGCTGTCACCACTACGCCCCCTTGCTGTCCTCGTGTTGTAGAATTGCCCATACCATTTTCAACAAATGATTGAATCCATTAATAGAATCTATACGGGTACACTTGGCCTAGCATGACTGTATTATAGAGGTTTCTCAGTACTTGGGTATGTTTTCCTCAAACAACACTGTGACGTAAAGTACCCACCTATATTACTCGCAGCTGACTGGTCACTATGATTGTTCATTTCACAGAGAAGTTCAGAATAACGTTTTAACGCTCCAATGAGCAATAGACTGACGGGGAGTCTGAAACAAAAGAAATACCTTAAGGTAAAAGAATTTCGAACGAAGTAAGTAACATATTGATTTTATGCATGGGTGTTTTGATTGGGAGTTATAGAAGTCAGAAGTGTTGCACAATTGCGCATACCAACATTTTGAAGGTCTAAGGCGTCTTAACTGCTGGCTTTGTAACTCGTCCACTAACCGCCGAGAGAAATCTCGAGTTCGCCTTCTAATCGTTTCATTTAAGCTCCACCATTATTCTTTCGCAAGGACAGAAAAAATAAGGACAAAGTATTTATTGGTCAATGACCCAGTTTTTACCGCTCAGTATCTACAAACCGATAGTGAGTACGTCAGCCAATTTACGACCGTATACTAGTAAAATTTTACTAATACGGGATAGACGGTCTTTAACTGAAAGATTTCTACGTACGAAAATAGATATGAAAGATGTTTCAATAATTATACAACCTTGCGTACTACAGTTCTGACAGACCTTGTGTTAGACATGTTCCACTGTGATGACTCGACCCCAGTCTGTGCCACACTAGCCTCGGCTGCTGCTGCTTGTGCCTGCATTTCTATTACAATGTCTGTGTACTCATATGGTTCAGCGGCCACTGCACAGAATACTTCATCTAGAAACCTCAGAAGTGAATCTGCTTGTCCATCATTCGTCTGACTTTCTCGCAGCTGAATCAACCATGCGTCCACTTCATAAGTGTGACTCTCTACCAGTCCACTTTCATTTAGAAGCTGAGGAGACAAGAAGCAGTTTTTCTACCTCACATTTATGAAAGAGAAATAACAGCGGAGATACTCAATCAACAGGTATGGCAACCCAAATGCAACTCGAGGTTATTTTGACGGTAAATCGCATAGCCACCCGCGTCTTTTAAAGCAGAGACAACTAAAGAGCCAATGAAGAAGAAAGCGGCAATTGTCTCTGTATCCGTGCTTTCTAAAGTATTAAGCTTAGATTAATCGTCATGTCCACAAATTTGGAACACAGAGCAAGAGAAACACAGAGAAAAAGAGAAAGTAGGCGGCAGGCCAGCGAAGGTCAACGAGAAAAAGGGCGACAGAGATCTAGAGCGAAAGATAAAAAACAAAGGAGACATTTTTTTGTTGGAAGAACAACATGAAAATTTTGTAACGGCGGTGACAAAATGAGAACTGTTAGCGGCCACCAATGCAAGGTGAAAATGAGCGGCAGTGAAAAAAAAGTGAACGAGAAAACGTACGACATTTCCCCCTTAAAACGTGTGACTAAGACGTTTCTGGAAGTCTCACGTTGTAGTCGTGCAAAACAACGGCAAAGAAATGTACACAAAAAGTGTGCTGCACGTGCAAAGTTGCTTTTGTGCTAATTAGACCCATTGTTGTTTTTCACCGTTCTCCAGCGTTGCCTTCGCCGCTTAGCATTACACGATTTTATATTTTTTTTGAACAAACTATACATATTATCGAGAGCTTCGCTTTTAGCCCTGGCTAAATCTATATATTATCACACCGTTTTGAAAGAAAGAAAAACGTGTGTGATGGAACATGGCGTTAACGTAAAGGACTGGTAGCATTGTCTTTGATCTATGTTCATGACATTTTCTACTAGGACAATTTCTCTAACCTTCCAGAGAAGTTCCTTAGCTTTGTTCTTGATGCTTTCACTTTGTGTTGATGTGTATAAACTGAGAACTGAGTATACAAACGATGTTGAACTCTTTGCTTTCTAAAAAAAAATAAAAGAAAAATGTGTGAAAAAAAAAAGTCGTGATAGGGGGCTAGTTGTATACACTCCTATCAGAGGGTGTTTGACAAAATACAGATCGTATTTCTTAAGCTAACTGAATCAGCCTTCGATCAACATTCGCCACGTTAGCCCTTTAAGCTCCAATATCCACATACCAATTCTCCAAACTGATCTCTATACATTTCTTTAAAGAATAAGTTGATAGAATTTGATAAAAGATTAAAGCATTTTCTCTTTAGTGATCATTTCATTAATTCTCATAACCTTATCTCTTGACAAGGTGCGGATATCGTTAGGAGAAAATTGGTGTTGGTCACCATCAGGGCTTAAAGGGTTAGAAACGAGTTCACTTTCATTTCGGACTTCTAGGACTATTACTAAGGACGGGCTAAAAAAATAGGCCATTTCCAAGTTCCCGCGGGCCTCTGTATCAAAACGAGGTTAAATGCTCAGCCTTTAATATGGAAATGATTTTTCATTCTCAGGCAAATAAAACCCATTTTCACAAGAAAGGTTGTGTACTTGGCCTCGTTTTGAAAGTGAGGGTTTTTTACACTCCGAAGTAACCTATTGGCCAAAAGCTGACAGGCGCGTCTACAGTAACTATGCCAAAAACAATTACAGGACGCATTTCGGTCCCAGTTCCCTTCTCATTATGGCGAATGTTACGTGTGCAAATGAAGAAACACTACAATCACTAATCTTTTACAATACCGGTGTTTCTCTGAATAACGTCACCTGTTGATACCACTTCAAGCTCCCAGCTGGCGTTTCCAGGAGAATCTGTAAAGTCAACTGTTGAGCGATAGGTGGAAAATTGATCTCCTGTTGCCCTGGTAACAGTTTCTTAAGGTCAAAGTCCATGTGTGAGAGGACTGAAGGCCAGAGCGTCTGGAATCCATGGATTACTTTAAGAGTCTGCGCAAGCAGAATGGTAGGACTTGTAACATCTGTAGAAAAGGAAAGGAACGTCACATTACTTACTTCTTACTAAGCCCTCTTAATGCCAAACTGCACATATACTCCATTCAAATTACAAATATGATGGATGGATGGATATGATGGATGGATCCACCTAATGCATCTAAGGGGTGTATGGCTAATACATCACCACTCAAAAGCAAGTTACCACCCTTCAGAAGAAGGCGATTTGCGTTGCGTGCTATGCGATTCCTGTAGCACAGGTCACGTTTCTTGTAGCGCGCGATGCTTTAAAAACTGTAGGTATCATGCCTAAATTCTTGTACGAATTTAATGATCTATTGCAAGGCGTTATAAAGCACCTGATCAGGGTTCTCAATAGAATTTTGTACTGTCGTTGCTGTGCCACTTACAGGCCTAACACATGACATGCTTCCCCGGGAAAAATTTGATTTCAGATGCTCAGAAATGCTTTGCAGCGGCCATGTTTTTGCAAGTGAAAAGATGACATCTGCGAGGGGCCTGGGCTCAAATGTACAAATTCAATATGGCGGCCCCATTTCAAGGTTGTAGAGACTTCGCGAAGCATAACGATTGTTCGGTTAGTCTTTGGTCTGCTGAAAGGCTGTTAATTTTGACAACTAACACCGAAGAAAGGTACATTGCAAAAGCAACTAACAGTCAATACTTTACAAAGGCATTTACTCAAAAAAACGTTCTTTTATTTACATTTGATATTGACCTACTGGTCGATACGCTTTGACAGCCGTAACACTTACCGCGTGACAGGTGTTACGGGTTACGGCTTCAATTGAGAACCCTGCTTATGCTGGCTAACACACAAACGAAAAGATTATCATTCGCCTTGTGAAGGATCAACATGTTGGAAATGTCGGTATATTATGTGCAACACTGTGCTACACCCCGGCTATTTTTCATGTACAGATTTAGGAAAGAGTTGTCAGCGATGAAGTTGTTAGTGACAAGCATCAAACCTTTCTCGACATCTTCTTTTGAGTTACCAACAATAAGATTCTGCCTCAAGGAGATGACTGTTTTAAGATCAGGCAAAGCCTTGAGAACCTCCTCTCTAAATTGCTGCTGCAAAGTTGTTTCTGTCTGTTCATGATCAACTGCTGTGCCACTCTTGGAAGCCAGACACTCGGCAGTGTTCTGTGCTCTGTCAAGGATCACTACCAGTAAGGACAGAGTTGTGTGCTTTACCAGAGAACTTGCATGCTGAAGAGAAGGCAATATGATAATTACGTGTGTAAGTTTACAGAAAACTGATCAGTGCCGTACGAACTATTGTAGAAGTGGACGAAAAGCCATGAATACTCAAATTCAAATAGCATTTACAATCTTAGCGAAAAAGGGTTACTTATTCCAGTCATAGTGATATAATAAACGACGATTCAATTTACAGGATAGGAAAAAACTTTTTACACACAAGCTTTGGATTCCATCACGGAATCTTTTGTGCAATCGTTTTGTCACGTGATTCACAGTATAAATCACGTGCAAAAACGCCCAAACCCATCACTTGAAAAAGATTCCGCGATGGAATCGAAAGTTTGTGTGTGAAAGGTTTTTTTTATCCTGTAAATCGAATCGTCGTTTATTACAGCATTTACAATGGTACACTGTGAATAGCAGAAAGCAGTATGGCACTATTCTTGCTATAAGTAGATGAAAACCAAGATTCATAGGAATGTAAATAAGTCTTCTTTTAGAAAAAGACACACCAACATAGGTCGAAAAGTTTAGTTAGACAAACCAGACAGACTGTTGGTTAATTTCTTTAACCCATTCGCCCAGGGAATGTTTTCCGAAAAATACCATTTGAAACTAGTAGAGCCGTTTTATGATCACTATTTGGCGCTAAAGACTAGTAATTCTGATGACGTCACAAGCGGTACTAGGGAAATGGATCTGCGCGGGCGGTTACAGGCGGTTTAGAAACAAATGGGTTTAAGCCTGTGTGTGCGCAAATCAAAATGCTTCAAATTGGTAGTCTTTGGTATTTCATCTGCCCACGCCAGTCAAAATGACTAACCGCGGGTGGGATTTTGTCAAACATGGGCAAATTTTAAACTGAACATTATTCGATACTGCTTTGTCATCATGTACAGTGCTTTGTGAGACCTAAAATAAGAATACGGAGAACAATGTGGAAGCTAAGAATTACTAGGTAAAATTAAGTTCTTACAAATTCATTTTTTTAAATTTCTAAGAGTTTGGATTAACTTACCTGAACTCCACGATTTAGTACTGTTCGGCTGATTCCAGGCGGTATGACCACATTTATAAATGATGGCATCACTCGTGAAGAAATCTTCAAAATGGTTTTCTCTATCATTTGTGAAGGCTGTGGCAATGCCATATAAATCTGAAAATAAAATTGCAATCACCCAGAAGACTTGAAGTGAAAACAATGTTTGATGTGCCATAGTAAATACGTGTAGAAATATTGCTTACCTTTGTCAACAAATTCACGTTTGATACCCAAGGTAATGAAAGCCGTGGCTCATATGTCACTGTCAAACTTGAGAGAAAAGGTTTGACAATATCTTGACAACAGCATAACACTTTTATCACCAATTCTTGGACCAATACATCACTGACCATCGCAGAAGATAAATTCTGAAGGAATCTCAACAACACTGGGTTGTTGGTTCTGAGAAAAAAAGAGAGATATTGGAAATTATTTGCCCATTAACCCTTCGAGAGTTTGCCAGAAATTCAGCTGCATGGTTTTATGTCACCACCTTGCAAAAAAAAAAAAGGAAGAAGAAAAACTACTCTAAAGATACATTTTGTAAACATTGAGGAGTTATAAGCACTAAAGTGGCTTTTAATACAGTATACAGTAGCTTCTGCTGCAGAACGGCTTTCCAAGATTGGGTATGTTGTGCTAAAAGCAAAACCAAGAAAGCCTTTTGACTAGTGCAGTCTTCTGCATCTTCTTCATCATTAGGAGTGGTCTTGAGTCTACATATGCTATTAAGGAAGCATGAAGCAACCTAACCTCAAAGGCCCTCTTCCATACATGTATTAAATTAAACTATATATAACACTGTTCAGCATGTTAATAAAATTAACGCATACTTAGTAGTAAATGCACCAGAGGTGTTAGAAAAACAAATCCCAAACTTGAATGAGCCACAAATTTTCAGTAAGATCTCGTGCACTGCTTGGCGTATTGACTGCTCCTTCTCTTCCTCAGAATCTTTAGCATATTGGTATAGATTGGCCAGTTGTGTAAGCACAAAAGAATTAAAGAACTGTACTTTTGTTTTCTTTGATATCCCAGTACTTTGCACCACCTTAGAGGCAAAAGACAGTACACTTAAATGACTCATCCTTTTCTAGAACATTGCACATCGATATCTTATTGTCTCCAAAAAAAAAAAAAATAATGTGAAAGGTTTGAACCCAGGAATCATTTCATAAGTGAGTTGAGTATGATCGTCTGGGTGAACGCAGTCCTGAATAGGACTGTTGTTGTTGACAGTGAATGACGTTCGACAACCTGTATGGTAGTCATCTTCAGAGTCAAAGTGAGTTGAATCACGTCAGTTGAAGATATTATACTCTGGTTATTGTCCTGACTGGCAGTGTTATTGGTTGTCTGTCAGTTAAGCCATGATGTTATGGGATGTGAAGACTCTTAATGTTATTGGTGCATTTCGATCTGTCTATTGTCACAGTTAAACAGTTGTTTACCATTGGTCAAATTGTCAGTTGTCCACTCGTTCTCTCGTAGTCAGTTTTGCTTGATTCCATCCATAAGTTGTTTGTATAGTGCTGGTAACTGTTGACTACCATTCAGCGGCATTTGTTCCAAGTTAGTAACTTTATTGCTTTTTAACAACTGAGCTGATATTGCAAAATATTCCATCAAAAAAATAATTTATTATCATTATTAAGATTAATAATAACAGCACCTGAACAAAACTTGAATTGTACACGTAGCTTGCACTTTCGGCAAGAATCTCATTCGTTTTTGCTTGCCTAGCCTGGGGTAACTGCTTGCTTGCAGTCTTAGCTAATGATTTAGTTGGGGCAAGTGAGCTTTAACAGTTACTTGCCGAGCAAGAAAAACTACTCATCTGGGACAACAAGATGGGACCTTTTTTGTACCTTAAGTTATCACCTAATTTACAAAACAATAAGCTATAACTAATGTAAGTGTAATCTACTTTGAACCTCCCAATCTGCAAAATACATGTGTAAGAAATCAACTTCCTGTTTATTAAAAGCCGCTGCTTGTAGACACTAAATGAAGTAATGTGTCATTTACAGTACTGAAGTCACAGTGCATGAGCTAAAAGGGTTTTCATGTAGTTGTAGTTAAATAAACCAAACTAATAAGGACAAACTGATGAAAATAATGGTATTGCTCTGTAGTGTTGAAGGACACTTACTCTTGTTTGAAGAGTGGATAAGACAACATGAACCACAGGAGGCACATCAGACGACAGTCCTTTCATTATTGATTGAAGGAATCCTAGCAAGGAGGAAAGAACAACATGAATTCAAGAAACAAGCATGTATGTGCAGCAGAGGTTCTATGTCACAGTACTGTTCAAGAGTGATTAGTCAGTCTGCTGTGAGTCTCAATTCTTGACCAGACTCTTCAACAAATTGAGTATCAGGTTCACATGAGTTTAAATATAGATTACAGATGATAAAAAGCGTTTCTCTACCCTTATGAAAACACTCTCAAAATAGTTCCAAATATGAAGAACACATATCAAAGTGTATAAGAGATCTAAAATTGTAGTAATGTACAGTGTAATAACAGGGATCCGTATTTGCAGTCGTCTGATCATCCTAGATGACTAAAAACTTGACAGACAAGTAAGACAAACGTACAACATGTAACTCCAAAAATACTTTGTTTTGTACTGCTTGAAATCCCCAAGCTATGATTACAAATTTGACTACACATGTTTTTGCTTACATTATATCACTTAAAATCGCTACACTATATTTCAACCATAAATTATTAGACACATTTTTATTAATTACCACACTGGAAAAATGCTGCATAGATCTGTAACCTGCCCTTCACGAGGTGGGGCTGCTAACTTACATGTAGTCTAATTTTTGTAAACCCACACATCAGTTTATTTTCAAAACATTTAAGTGCACGCCTAAATGGCTGTTTTATTTATTATCCTGCTTTAATATTCTATGAAGGTGCTTGATGTTAGTGCATATACAATACAATACAAATTTTTATAAAGAAAATTAAATATTGAATTATTTCCTAAAGAATAAACAAAACAATGGATAGGTTACATACCTTTGAGTTCTAGGATCTGCTTCACGACAGCTAGTTCGCCAAACATCAAAAATGAAAGACAGAAGTAAATGAAGCATGTCCTTACATCTTGAGCTGACTAAAAAAGACAGGAAGTTTCAAATATTCATGCAAGATTCATGTGCTCATTTGACATAATAAGACTGTGAAATGCCAAAATTATGTCAGCCCACAAATGACCTGCTCATCANCAGACTCTTCAACAAATTGAGTATCAGGTTCACATGAGTTTAAATATAGATTACAGATGATAAAAAGCGTTTCTCTACCCTTATGAAAACACTCTCAAAATAGTTCCAAATATGAAGAACACATATCAAAGTGTATAAGAGATCTAAAATTGTAGTAATGTACAGTGTAATAACAGGGATCCGTATTTGCAGTCGTCTGATCATCCTAGATGACTAAAAACTTGACAGACAAGTAAGACAAACGTACAACATGTAACTCCAAAAATACTTTGTTTTGTACTGCTTGAAATCCCCAAGCTATGATTACAAATTTGACTACACATGTTTTTGCTTACATTATATCACTTAAAATCGCTACACTATATTTCAACCATAAATTATTAGACACATTTTTATTAATTACCACACTGGAAAAATGCTGCATAGATCTGTAACCTGCCCTTCACGAGGTGGGGCTGCTAACTTACATGTAGTCTAATTTTTGTAAACCCACACATCAGTTTATTTTCAAAACATTTAAGTGCACGCCTAAATGGCTGTTTTATTTATTATCCTGCTTTAATATTCTATGAAGGTGCTTGATGTTAGTGCATATACAATACAATACAAATTTTTATAAAGAAAATTAAATATTGAATTATTTCCTAAAGAATAAACAAAACAATGGATAGGTTACATACCTTTGAGTTCTAGGATCTGCTTCACGACAGCTAGTTCGCCAAACATCAAAAATGAAAGACAGAAGTAAATGAAGCATGTCCTTACATCTTGAGCTGACTAAAAAAGACAGGAAGTTTCAAATATTCATGCAAGATTCATGTGCTCATTTGACATAATAAGACTGTGAAATGCCAAAATTATGTCAGCCCACAAATGACCTGCTCATCACCAGTGTTCTCAGTGGCGTAGATGTTAATTTAAACCATCTGACTAGTGTCTAGAAGGTTTGTGGGTTCAATTCCCTTCTTGAACTTGAAAAATTAACTTTTTTTCTGAGTCCTTCTTTCCACACACGTCATTCTACTGGTATTTACTAAGAATTATCATTGACAATGTTAATATAAATATACCAAATGTGCATATTATTCCTACACTATTCTATGACATTTTTTATTCTATGTCAGGCAAATTTGCTTTAAAAAAACCAAGGCAATTTTATAATTATCAGGAATCATTTTCTTTATAAAAAATTATTATTCTTATGACCTACATATTTGGTTAAGCAGTGTCAAAACCCTTTTTAGTATTTTTACTTTTGTTACAATCATATTGTACCAGTAAATTAATTCTTGCACTTTTGTTGTATGGGAAACAGTAATATGGGGAATAGTAAAGTTGTTGTTTTGTTCTTGTTCGATGGTCCTGAAAATACAAGACTTAATAAATATAAAAGGTTAAATTACTTGTTTATAGTGAAAAGTGCACTCAGCTTCTCCAGCTAGTTGATAAACATTCCACTCAAATAATAATAAAAACAAAAAATCAAAATAGCACATAATAGGATTAAAAACCCCAACCAGTTGGGTATTTACAAATATATAAGTGTGGCCGAGGATTTGAACTTGCGACAACTGCATCAACAAATCCAGCAAGAGGCCAGAGCAGGACTGCCTCTGGTTTATTTCATACAATTCTAACCTTAGTAGGGCACATGTTACTAACCTTTGGGTCACGTTTGTTTGGCAGTGCACCAATGGCCTTCAAAGTAAAATCAAATGACCTTTGAACTTCTCTTGCTGCTGTCACTCCTTGTGTTACCATCGCTGTAAGCAACCTTAGAGTAGTCATGATAACATCAGGGGGATTCCCTGGATGGAGACATGTGTATAGAAGTTTCATATGGTTTTGCAGCACTTGCTGTACTATTGTCATCCCTATTCTGGTAGATAACTGCTTGTCTCCTGCAGTAAAGAGCAGAACACTCTCTAGGATTTCCAGGCATGTTTGGATCTGAGGAAGAAAATTTTATTGATATTATACATGTAAATAACTGCAAATTGAGACTGCTCTTCTGAGTACATGTAACAGATCAGACAGGCTTTCAGTACAAAAATAGAACTAAAAGTGTAATTTAATTTGATTTCTAAAGTCTGTAAGTGCAAAACAGCAGCCTTAACATAAAAAGAATACTGAGATCAACTTCACCCCTATTGCAAAGCTGGTTTCTAAAGATCATCTAGATCAATTGACTTTCCTCAGAAAATGGTACAATCATTATTGTAGTTTCCAGGCTTTACATGCAGCACAGCTTATTACTAAGCAATCTGGAATAAAATAATTATATTATAATTTGTAAAATAAATCTATCAGTCTACTTTTCATGCAAATTCTCTCAAATGAATGGCTACTTTTGTACCTTTGACAGCTTGATAAGTCATAAGATTTTGCATTCCAGTACATGTACTGTACATGATAAAGATCCAATAGTGACTTTAGAGCATCAATTTTGACTTTCAGTTTGCAGTAGCGTTATAGACGTTTACAGTAATACATGTACCTCAAGCTGGGAAAGACTGTGTCGGCCTCCTTCTAAAATCTTGAAAACCTCATGAAATTCTCCACCTTCCTGGACAATGCTTGTCAGTCTTTCCTTGTTTTGTGACTCTTTAAGTGCATTGCGTAGCTTGGACAAACCTCAATAAAAATAATATCACCAAAATAAATGCCACAAGGACATTACTCACTGTAACTATACTAAGCAGGGCTTCTGATATTTCGCGCGGTCGCGGACCCGCGAAATTCTGGTATTTCCGCGAAATCCCGCGAAATTCCCAAAAAAACGCGAAATACCGCGAAATTCGCCAGAAATATTTCCAAATACATGTCGGCAAAACATATTTAATACTTATCTTGGCTATTACACCGGTTTTATTCACCCCAAAAATTCAAATTTAGCTTGAAACTTCGTCACTGCAACAAGTAAACAACGTCCCAAAACTACCAGGCGTTTTTAGATGAACGTTGCGAAAAACTGGGCACTAATCATAATGTTAATAGCTTTAACATTCGCTCATTTCTCGAGCGAACTGTTGTTGAAAGAGCAAATGATTATCCCTGTTAAAAAAAACGTTCACCAACGCTGGTCATATCGACGCAAAATTGATCGATTTTAGCGAAATTTGCCAAAAAAAGACCCAGCGAAATCGGCTGTTTTTTACTGATTGTTTCTTAGCGAAGTTTCCCCCCGAAATTTCGCGTGAAATCGGCCGATTTTCCTAAGAATTTGCCCCTGAAAATCCTTCGAAAATTGACTTTTTTCCACTAAAATCCCGCGAAATGGGCCGTTTTTTCTGTGAATTTTGACTTTTCTACCGCGAAAATCGCCCGAAATTGGCCGATTGTTCCGCGAATTTTGACTTTTTTTCCGCGAAAATCCCGCGAAATCGGCCGATTTTTCCGCGAATTTGCCCCTGAAAATCCCACGAAATTTTGCTTTTTTTTCCGCGAAATATCAGAAGCCCTGACTAAGTAACCTGGACACTGAGTTGTTCGAAAGGGGGATAATGCTATCCACTGGATAAATCTTTGTTTAGTGGATAATGCAATATTTATTGATCTCCCTAACACTCATCCATGGATAGCCATTTATCTGGTGGACAGCGCTATCCAACGTTGGAACAACCAGAGCCTGTACTGACTAACTATACTGTGATAAAAGAAAGTACAGTCAACTCCTGATAACTCGAACCTTCATGGGAAATTGAAAAAAGTTCAAGTTATCGAGAGTTTGAGTTATTGGGAACTCGAGGCAAATAGCCCAAAGCAAGGGAAAAACCAGTTTTTACAGTATGGTGAACATATTGATCACATTTAACTGTAAAAATGATAAGTTAAAATGGAACAATGCTTCTGGGATATAAATCAAAACGTAACATAAAAAAACAAAGCCTAAATAGAGCATGCATTTAACTGTTTTGAGAAGCAAAGCTGTTTCATGTTACATTATTTTGTGACAAACAACATTAGCCTCCACTAGTAAGTTATATGCCTACAGCACGTCAATGGTAAATTCAGAATTTAATGTTTTGGATGTTTTGTACACTGTTTTTTTTCCTGACTTTATAAGCGCTCAAAACATGGTTCAAGTTATTGAGGGTAACTTTATATAGAAATGATCTGAGGGGAAACAAAAATTACTTCGAGTTAGTGGGAGGTTTGAGTTATCAAGGATTCAAGTTACCGAGGGTAAAATTACATATAATTACTTATCATTTTCGCATAAATTATGTCATAAATTTGGAAACTGCTGAATTTCTCGAATTGGGTCTTTGCGATTTTGGTGAAACTCTGTTCAGTGCAAGGCATTAATGCACACTATGTGTAGCCGAGAGATTTTCACGAAAAAATGCCGGCAACAGCAGATTTTCGACTCAGACCTCAAAGGGGCATGGCATTATAACCACATGGCATTTACTCCGATCGCCAAAAATTTTCTGTGATATTGTAGATTGATCTATATGTTATCCATTGTATGTGTTAGACTTACGATAAAAGTAAAGGTGGGGATACCAGAGAGCTTCAAAGTAGGATGGTACCCCCCCAAAAAAAACTGGGTCGAGTCACCTTAATGTTTCCTGGTTTTGTTCTTTTGTTTTACGTCACCTGTGTCAGGTACACGAGGTAAATGCCTTTTTTTATTGTCTATAAGAATGGCCACTGTGAGTGAGCTGGGCCTGACTGAGTTGTTTGAAGGGTGAATAACGCTATCCACTGGATAAATCTCTCTTTTGTGGATACCGTAACTGGTTTCCCTAACACTCATCCGCTGGATAATGAGTTATCCAGCGGATAGGGCTATCTAATTTTGAACAGCGGGGATACAACTTTTACACATCATCTGAGACACAAAATTGCAATTCCAATTCCATACATGTACCTCAAAACAACAAGACATGCATTGAATATAGACCTTCAACATACCAGACAACCTTGTTTGCTCTTTCTGTAATAACACTTTCACAGTGCGTACCAGTTGACTATGTTTGTTGTTATTGTTTTCCTCCGCCTCCGCGAAGTCAGAGACCTTTGCCTTTTTCAAAATGTTTCCCTCCTGGTCAACCACTTCTCCTTTCCTCTTCTTCATATCCTTACCTGTGATTTGAAAGTAGCTTTGTCAGCTATCACTTAAATCACAGATGGAGAAGGATGCATCCAAAAAGGCCGTCATGTTTGCACGTGGTATCAATAACCTCTTCATATACGCTACATGTATTGTCTCTGTAGTAGGAAAGAGGCGGGAACGTGGGGTGGGTGGGGGGGGGGGTGGGGGGGTGTATTCTTTTTTAACCCCATTTAAGAAGTGTACCGGGATATGTGCAGCCCCGGAAATGATTCCCAAATCAACCCGAATGATACCGACCCCGAAATAATCCCCATTTCTTTTCACGTCCACGAAAAGATCCCCAATTAATTTTACGAATGGAATAATATCCTAGAACTATGGATCGAGCAAAGTGCACAACATTAATTAAAGTCTAACTAATAATCTTCACCTGCCCGAATTCTTTAATGGCATTAATTTGGGATTCCACTTTGATTTTAAACTGGATTAGACGAAAACATTGTTTGACACACAAAGTCTAGTATATTTTTAGTAACACCGTGAACTGCAACCAATAACATCAAGAAACACAACATTTTTATGACTTAGGTGATTATAGTCCAGGTTATGGAGAAAACTACATGGATGTTAAATGCTAAAAATGATGTTAAAGATGCAAACGTAGACATAAAGGTGATTAGATGACAAAAACGCTAAAAAATCGCATAAACGTAAACACTGCAACAGATCAGAGTGGTAATAATTCCTTGGCGGAGTACCATTCCATTCCAAGACTTAATTGCGGTCATTTCGTTGTCGACGTGAAGAGAAATGGGGATTATTTAAGGGTTGGGAATCATTTCGGGGGCCGTGTACAGATAACAGAATAGAAAAATATAGGAGGCTTCAAGAATGATATCTCGTTCAACGGGGCCCAATGTTATTATCCCGTTTTAGATATAATTATTGTTGATATTGTCAAGAGTTCTTATGCAACCCATAAAGCGCTGTTCTAGGAAACGTCTTGAAAAATACCTTTCTCTGCCGCCGAACGAAACTGTCAGCCAAGGAATTTGGTAAAATCGCCGGGTAAATCCTTGTCCGAGGGATACTTTATTCCTTCAATTTTCGGCTGAAGGAACGAAATTGATCTCCCAAAATTAATGAGACCCTACAATCAAAACACTACACCTAACTCAATGAACATTTTTTCACAAGTAGAACATAGAACATTTTACAGATCTACATTTCTTTTATATCTGGGTTAATGCTGGGGGAAAGAGATCCCATAAGAGAGGTAGGGGGATGCTTGCCGGTCTTGTAAACTGCAGATTTCGGCACCAGAGATTTATCAAACTACATTTACTGGCAGCGTTTCTATCGTCTTCTTTAAGACGGTGTCTTCTTCGGTTCAAGTAAAGCTTGAGAACTTCCCATGTCTCCCCTTGGCTTTAATTTGAAACAACCGACGAGCACACCAGCCCTGGCCTTTTACATTGGCCTGAGTTCCCCCAGGGCATTAGTGCGGTTCATTGCATGCAATCAAGCAAGAGCTGTAGTCATTCGGGTGAGGCCTGGACCCTAGCCCGGAATACCAGGACTTTCCTGGACTTTCGATGGGTACATAGCCTGCGTATCATGGCGGTTTTGTCGCGCGCACTACCGAGCGGCGAAGCCGCAAAAGCGCGCGAACGAGCGGGGAAGCCAATCTCCTCGCAGTTTCAATGTCCCAACCTTGGCTTGTTTGCGCGCTTGACCAAGGCCTCCATGCTGCGTAGGCTAATGCGTACAAAGACTTTGGGCTCTTTCCATTCAACCAAATGTCCGCTTTGAATTTTCGGAAACTTCCAGTAGCAAATGGAACAACATTTTCCAAAATTTCCAAAAAAGAGGACAACCTCGCAAGGTATACCCAAATTTCGAAATTTTTTTCCCGGAAGTTTTCTTTCTATTCATTTTTGCTCCCAGAATTTCTAGAATTTTCGGTTGAATGGTTCACATTTCAGAAATTCAAAAGCTTTCGGGAAATTTCTACAGCATTTGCCGCTGTTTTCAAATTTTTGAAAGTTTTGGTTGAATGGAAAGCGCCCTTTGCCTTTCTTCCTTGGTTTGTTTTCGAGGTTGTCCCACGACCCAGAACTCTGCTCGTGCGGTCTGTCAATATGTATGCACAGATAAGAAAGAATCGCCTTGGAGATTGCAAAACCAAATACAAATACACAGTTCTCAAATGATTAATTATTCTAGAATTATTCTTATTCTATTCAAAATTAAAGTTAGCAAAATAAAAGTTTCGTCAATCCATATTGGACATTACAACCTGTCCAGTAGCGAACTGAAGTTCTCCCTGTTTTCTCTGCGTGAATAACGACTTAATTACAAGGCCAAGTTGGACGTTATTTGTTAAAAAAGCTGTTATTATTCAGGTAATTAGCTTTCACAGCAATACTTTATAGTGCAAAGTCTTCGGCTGTAAACGTTTGAAAACACAGACACCCAGGATTCTCTGCATATTCTCTCCTTTCCTCATCATCTTTCTCGGTCAAACCCGTCAACATCTCGGTCAAGCGATCAAATACCTCGGGTACACACCAGTTATATTCGTGGAGAAAACTGAAGTAGTTCTGCAAAATCTTCTTGGAAATAAGGTCTTTTGTGAATAGCGACTCAAATCTCTCCACTTCTGGAAGAAGACAGTGATCTTCCTCATCGTAAAGCCCGTCAGCACCCTTCTCTATAAGCACGCCTTTTCCAGAATCATATTTGGCTGAATGCGTGCGCAGTGGTATAGTGTAGGGTGTTAAAAACGCCGATACTTGACTGCAATTAACTTTAATACAGAAATTGAGAATGGCAAAGACTTCAGAAACTCTGTTTCCAAGTTGATCTTCAGCCCACATCTTATCATCTGGATAATTATTTGCCATGTAGAGAACTATGTTTTTAAGAGCAAACGAAGAGACAAGGCCGTCTAAACAGAAAGAGCAGTTCTCTTTTTTCTGAATGTAAGGAACAAAAAACTTTGCAATGCATTTGGCAAACTTGTAGCACTGGATGCGTCCATTCAGCGGTCCATACTTGTTTAACTCTTCCCTTTCCTTTAGTGACATAGCAAAGCGCGGCGAGTTTAAAGCATACTCTATGTCACGGTCCTTAGGCAGCAAGGCGAATAACTTCATCTCTCCGTCAAGGCAATTTTTCAAGAGAAAGTCCCTTTGCTCAACGTTAGAGCCCTTCTCTTCGAGGACTGATTTGTGAATAGGTATCCAAAAGCAAATGTCGATGTTGACAATAAATCCATCCGATGAACGAACAAGATGGACTGTCCTCGCGATGCTTTGTTCGTCTCCATGGCAGGTTGATTCGGATAGTTTCCAGCCCTCGGGGAGAAAATCGTCCATGTAAAGGGACCAGACTTGCTTCATTGCTGCCTGAAAGTTTTCTTTGATGTGCTTAGTATCACCACCCCAGGCAATATCATCTACCAGGGCAACATAAGCCGGGTCGTCATACAACAGGGACTCGTCTTTCTTGAAAATTATGGGGAAAAGTTTCTCGAAGCTTTCGAAGTATGGAAGAACAACGGCATAGTCAAATTCATCAGCCTTGCCAATTTTCGTATTTTCGTTGACGCTACCAACTGGAATAAGGGAGCACTTTTTGAAAACAAGATAGCAAGATTCTAACTTTTCAATCGTCTTTCTCATCATCTCGTTTATCTCCTCAAATATCTTTTTACTCTGGGCTCCACTGTAATTTAACTCTGGCTCTATGAACCGAAGTAGTTGACAAAGTGGTAAGTCGTCATCAAGGGGTTCAGAGAGATCATATGACCAGTGATCAGGCTCATAGCTTTCTAGACCTTCGGTTGAAGTATCTTGGGTGTCTTGGTCATTTTTATCTACAGAGTCTGTTTTCTGTAACACGTTTTCTTCTACTGAGCGCGTTGTACTATCACGAGCTGCAAGATCATCAGAAGTAATGGTCGAAATGTCCGACACAGGCATTGGCTCATCAAATTTTGTACCAGAGAGCCTATCGTCCTCCACATCAACTTCCTTCTCTATGCACGTCCAATCTTCGTACGGCCAGTTGGGCCTGGCATAAGTTTTGCAGAAATGAACACTTTGTTTGTCTTCCATCTACAAGTGTTGGTCAACCCTGTGGGAACAAACCCATATAAGCGTTAGGATGAGTTTTTAATGTGTTCAGCTACTTTTAAAGGGTCGAAAAAAAATGTATTCAAGAATCGGAGACAGGAAAATTTGAGTCATGATCAGATATGACCCCTCATATCCAAAAACTCATTAAGCAACTTTTAAAAGGGAGAGGTAAAGGTCCTTGTATTACGTCAGCGCAGGAGCCCATAAGCCGGAGCGAGCATCATTTTAAGGCACTTTTTCTCGCCAAAATAGAATCTCCACTATGTTTATGAGCCCATTCGAAGTACAAGATATCAAAAAGGAAAACTAAACGTTTTTAAAAGGCAAAAAATATCATTTTTAGGTCAGTAAGTTTTGCTGACTGGTTTGTGGAATTTAAAAGATATTCAAAATTCGAGCTAAAAACGTTCTAAAAATAAACTGGTCCGTGAAAACGCCGTGAGCGCAGGGAAGTTGCTCACTCCGGGTTATGGGCTCCTGGTCTGCGTTGGTAACTTGCAACAGCATCAAACCCAGTTAATACCGACAATGAGGGGGTCATAGAAAGTGTCCGTATTAACGAGGTGTCCGTAAGGCGGGGTCTGACCACAGGGTACCCATACAATCTGTGTCTGTGTAACCGATGTTATTTTACAGTAAATGTACTGGATTTACCGTTTGCGTCACCCATAACGAGCTATAACGATATATCGCTAAGTATGTACACCGACCTCAATAAAGGTTGCTTTAGGAATCATGCTTTAGTCTTTGAAAGCAATTGTTTAGTGGTCACTCAAGCAAACTCAAACTCCTTCAAAATCGCTCAAAAAGTATATACACAGGTAACGAAATTCAACGTTTATTTAACAGCATTGATTTATATACACCTATTTCAATAAAGGTTGCTTGGGAATTTGGTCATTGAAACACAGAATACAGTGCAAAGCTTTGCTTGGCTGACCACTAAACAATGGCTTTCAAAGACCAAAGAATGATTCCCAAAGCAACCTTTACTGAAGTAGGTGTACATACTTAGCGATATATCGCTATGGGTGAGGCAAAAGATAAATCCGTACATTTACTGTAAAATAACATCGGCTACACACACAGATTGTGTGGGTAACCTGTGGTATCACAAAACTGCTTGAGGCCTTGGGATCACGTGATCCGAACGAAATGTACAAGGTCTCGCCAAGAAAACGATCGAAATCCACCAGCCAAAAAGCGAGCACACACTCACTGATAACAACCCGTTGCCACCAAAGAAGACAAGCGGTATCGTCATCTTCTTTTCCACTCGTACTCGTCCCTCGGGAGCGAGACGAGGGACTAGTAGGAGTTTACACTGAGAACGAGGTTGCCGCTCGTTCTGATCTTGTCTTGTTTCTGCCTGCTACAAACCCTTGTTCAGAAGGCTGTTGTCGGTGGTGTAGCCAGCCATACTATTTGCCCTGGAATTTTGAATGTTCATTAACCAAACATATATGTTTTTAAAATTAAAAGCGCTGTCAAACATGATGGCGAATGAATACTGCACGCACCAAATAAAAGCCTTTGTCACGTACTTTTCTTGATGCGATTTAATGACAAGAGAAGAAAATTTAAAGCTATAATTCATCGGATAGTGAAGGTTATCAGTGAGTTTATAAAGCAAAAGTGATTTCCGCATTGTAATTTGAGGTTGTTGCATTTTCAATGAAACTTCCGCTTTTATGGATTAGCTCAAAGTCGCAGCTATTTTTTTGGAAAATCGAAAGTAAGTGTCGTTACTGGTGAGAGATAAGTTAGCGAATTAAACAAAAGTCTGTTGTATATTGCCCAGCCAAATTTTGGCCAATTGGAAAGACTTAAAATGCACTCGATCGGGTGTTTGTGAAGACTGTATTGTCGGTCGACGTGTTTACAGTCTTTACATCTTACGAGAATATCTCAGTGGTGCTGTAAAAACTCTCTTTTGATTAATCCGGACAAAACTAAGGTTCTAGCTGTTGGATTACCACAACTTTTAAAGAAACTGTCATCATTCAGTATAACACTTTTTGACAAGGAAATAACACCTGTGCCTGTCGTTAAGGACTTGGGTGTTCTTCTCGACACACGCCTCAGTTATAACCAACATATCACTGAGATTGCCTCTAAATGCCTTTTTAAATTGTACCAAATTAACAGAATCAAGCACCTCCTGGATAGGAAAACACTTCTGTTAGTAATAAATTCATTTGTCTTTAGTAAACTCCAATATTGTTCAACTGTCTGGAGTAATACCAGCAGCAGCAATATTGACAAGTTACAAAAAGTCCAAAACTTTGCTGGGCGAATTATTCTGGGACTAAGAAAGTATGACCATATTTCGGATGGGTTGCGATCATTGAAATGGCTTCCTATTAGAGAGAAACTCATTCTAAATGACGCTACTATGATGCACAAATGTATTAACAAGCTTGTTCCAGACTATCTTGCTGATATGTTTAAATCACGTTCTCAAGTCCATAATAGACAAACTCGATCATCTGGTGCTTTGGATATACCTTTATGTCGCCTGTCAACAGGGCAGCGCTCCTTTGCTTTCAGAGGAGCCAAACTCTGGAACTCCTTGAATGATAACATTAAGTCCTTAAAATGCCCCAGGAATTTTAGACGTCATCTTGCAAATGTTTTATTAAGTTGATATATTATATTATTGATATATATTTTGTAATTATAATATTATTGTATTTACATTCTCAATTAATTTATATATTTGTATTTTTTTTTATTCTATTGAGCTGAAAAGCCCACTTAGGGAGCATCAATAAAGTGTATGTAAGTGTATGTATGTATGTACATTGTGTAGCCGGCGTTGTGCGAAAATTTGGCCGCCTTATTGTCCAATTTCACTTACCGTTCGATCAGAGGTCTTTAGGTCTTTTGGCTCCTAGCAATTCCTCGAAGATTGGGCAAATAGTAAATATTCAATCAGTCGCCATCTTGCGCTGTTGACTGCAAAGCATGCGAACGTCGACCTACTTCCGGGTATCGCTTCTGTGCGAGGTGCCAGTCGTGCGATCCCGTGGGTGGTAGAGTGAGGGTGAAATTCTTTCCTCCCTCTCGAGCCAAAAAAAACGGATGCTCTCGCAGGCTAGGAAAAGATTTATTACCTGTCTTTTTTAGATCTGTTCGCTTTTTGAGTCCCTAACAGTTGTGGTTTCTTAATGCACGTTTGGTTTTCGGTTTTTATAGAAAAGGAAATAAATAGTCAGGTTAGGTTCGATCGTCATCTTGTTTGTTTTAGCCCCCCTTCTCTCCACCCCCCCGGGTCAACACAGTTTTATACAGAGAGGCTTATCATTTTTTTACAGAAAAGATATCCCTTTAATTCTTCTATTGACAAATTTTAAAATACCTAGTTCAGAACTTTGCATTCCTTTTAACCGCTGTAAAGGCACGTTCGTCTAAATATGAATAAATCACAAAACCAGAACGTATTCTCGACTTTTTCATGGCATTACATTCATCTGTTAGCCCTTTTGGGACTTTTTACAGACCAAAATGACAGATTTCATTTCTCTGTCAAGGACTTCAACTTGTGAAATCCCTATACAAACCTTTCAGATACCTGGAGAATGAAAAAGGTATCCCTTTTGGGAGGGGCCACCCCCATGTAGCCTATTACAAGCATATGGAGTACCTACTCCCCCCCCCCCCCCCCCGCGCTCTGACAAAAAGAAAAAAAGAGTTTTTTTTTTTTTTCCATTAATACAAAAATATCGAAAGCAATAAAAAAAATAACAATAAATAACAACTCTTCACCTACAAACACTCAAATAAAGGGGATGAAG